GTGTGTGTGTGCGTGCGTGCGTGCGTGCGTGCGTGAGTGTGTGTGTGTGTGCGTGCGTGCGTGCGTGCGTGTGTGTGCGTGCGTGCGTGCGTGTGTGTGTGCGTATGTGTGTGTGTGTGTTTCAGCTGAACCGGAATCAGCCGGTGACGGTTCATGACATCCTGAAGATCTTGCGGCTGCACATCTCTGTTCCTCAGTGTGATATCTTCGGTTATCTGAGCATCGACTCTGAGCTCATCGTCCTCATCGTGCCTGTCGATCAGCAGCCCACGCCGCTGCAGGTGTGTCTTCATTAAACATACAGTACAGTGCAGTAATTATCAATCACTCTAAAATGAAGAGAGCTTGTGCTAATGGAGCTTCACAGCTAGCTTCTACAGTATGAAAACCAGTCCGTATCCAGGAATATCGGATTGATATTGATAAAACATAAAAGACCTCAAATGCACATTTTGCATACTCTCTGATCTCCATCTGGACCTGCTGCATTTACTGTGAATGGGAAAATTAGGGATATTATTTTCATATTATGGCTGATAACCAGGCTAATTCTTGGTATTTTTACAGAATAAATTTAGAAATAATTGACAATGTAATTATATATTAATTTAATAAAGCCGTTAAAATTATTTTAAAAATTCAAAACAAAAAATATAGTGAGGATTATGGCTGATAACCAGTAAATGACTGATTCTTAGTATTTTGACAGAATTAATTTAGAATTAATTAACTTCTTTAAATGAATATATAATTAAATTATTTAAACAAGTTCAAATAAATCAATAAAATAGGTCGTTTTAAAAAATGAATTTAGGCATCACAACATTATAATGTACAGTATGAAAAACAGATTAATTTTAATTAAATGAGGTTTACATTAAACAGCATTATTAAATGATTAGAGATTGTCAATGTTAGATGCTGACAAAATAGCTGGAAAAAAGCATGAACAATTACATATTTAATAACAGTAAATGTACTAAATATATAAAAGTAATAAATAAGTTGACCGATATTCTATACAGTAAAGATGTATCACTCGACCCTAGTGAAAGCATGCTTTGATACACTGTTGCCGGGATGATTTCTCTATGAATCGTGTGCACTAGTGCTCTGGAGAGCGTCTGGCTAGCAGTGAGTGGAGATCTGAAGGAGTCTTTCCTGCGGTTGCATCATACGCTCCAGATGTTCCTCACATTTGCCTAGAAATATTAAAGCTGTCTGCAAGGACTGAATGCCCTGTTTCTGCCGAGTCGAGCTGAAGCGTGTGCTGTGCTCTCCTGTGCAGATCGAAGCCTGCAGTAAAGAGGCAGAGAAGATCGACTCGCTCATAAACTCGGCCAGCCCGACGCTGGTGTCCCAGGTGCCTCTGTCTGCCTTCCTCCGCTCCGAGCTCCAGCTGTCCACCATCAGCTCCGCCGCGCTGCCTCCGCTCTCCCTCTCCCTCTGTGTCTTCTCCTCCTCTCTCCTCCTGTCTCTGACCTCTGACCTCTGACCTCCACCGACCAGCAATCACACTCCAGACTCTTCTCTCAGTATGAAGGACTTCCGGAAGGAAAAGGAGCTGTGGGAGACTCCCAGCACACACCAGCCTATAGATATATTGTTTGAAATATTTTATTGTTCCTCTAATGTCAGTCAGTTTTTTTTTTAATAAAAAAGAGGAACCCAGCCATGTAAACAAATATGACAATCGTACTGTTTATCCATAAAGTGGTAAACACAATATGCCTTGCTTATAAACTTGAATGAATTTGTACCTAGGAATTTTCATGCTTTAATTTTGAACGAGCAACACATTTTTCAATTTGGGAAATAAAAAAAATCTTAAAAAGTTTGTATCTTTGTATATATTTTGTATCATGAAAGGGCGTTCCTGTAGCGATACCAGTACAATATCTCACGGTTCTCAACCAATCAGATTTGAGAACCAGAACGAACTGTTTTATAAATGTATAAATATATATATATATATATATATATATATATATATGTGTGTGTGTATAGATTTTTTTTTTAATGAAGTATTACAAAAACAAACCTTTATGTTGATAAGAGAAGCAAAATGTTCTATTTTGAGATGATAACGTGCCACTTGAACATGATTGCGGTTCTGCCGTGTCTGACTGAATGTTGTGGAGGTGTTGTGTCGAGGCCACATTAAGAGCCGCCTCGTTCCAGACAGTATTATGTGGCTTTGGCAGCTGTGTAGCATGTGTATGTCAAGTCAAGTCAAGTCAAGTCACCTTTATTTATATAGCGCTTTTAACAATACAGATTGTGTCAAAGCAACTGAACAGCATTAATTAGGAAAATAGTGTGTCAATAATGCAAAATGACAATAGTAAACACTAATTTTTCAGTTAAAGACAGTTCATCATTGAATTCAGTGATGTCATCATCCAGCTCAGTTTAAATAGTGTGTGCATGATGGGACGGCCTCTGTGCCCTGTCTGTCTCTGTGGAACACTTCCCATGTATATTTTTATATGATAATAATAAATGTGATCATATTGCCGAAGGATTTCATCAGAATGACTCTGTCGTACAATTTCTAGATAATCAAAAAAAAATCAAACCATGTACACTATCGTTCAAAGGTTTTGGGTCGGTAAAATATTTTTGAAAGAAATTAATAATTTTATTCATCAAGGATGCATTAAACTGATCAAAAGTGAGAGTAAAGATATTTATAATGTTACAAAAGATTTCTATTTCAAATAAATGCTGCTCTTCTGAACTTTCTGTTCATCTGTGAATCCTGAAAAATAAAATGTATCAGTTTCCATAAAAATATTGTGCAGCACAACTGTTTTCAACATTGATAATAATCAGAAATGTTTCTTGAGCAGCAAATCAGCATATTAGAAGAGAATTAATGTATAGAAATGTATATATATATAATTCACATATTCTTATTCTGTGACAACTTATTTACATTATGTAATGTTTTGCTTGTTTTTTTTAAGTTGTGAACATTTTGGGACTTTTTATTTAGAAAACAAAACAAAAGGTTATATATATATATATATATATATATAAATGTATTATTATTATTATTATTTTCAGTCTGTCTGTATTTTTGGTGGGGATTTGTACCAGTAGGTGGCGACAACTGACCGTCTTTATGAGTGAGTCACTGAGTCGTTCACTCAATCGATTCGTTCGAATCACCTGTTCATTCAGAAACTAAACACCACAGCGAGAGCTTCGGCTGTTTGGACTTCATTTGGAGCTCTTTTTATTGACAAACCAGACAAAGTAATTTGGAATATTGTGTCTAGCACGCAAGTTACTCCATATTAGCTTTGTTACTGAACTGTCTGTTTAAAGCAATTGCGTGTTCGGTGTCTGAAAATGACCTTTTTCTTCCTCCTCTGTGTAACTCTACAGACATTAGTGATGGAGAGTGGCATGAATGAATGAAAGTGAAGCTCAGATTATAATATACTGTTCAGATGACCAAACGTCTTTCTGAAAAACACTTTCTGTAGACAACAACTCAGTTTCATCCGTGCTGAATTCAGGAAGGGTTTGTCCCAATACTAACCACACAGTGCTTTGGGCCACTGGAGGGTAAGAGCAGAAGACTGAACATGGCAAACTCAGTGTGCTTAATCCACATTCACACTCTAAACTGCTTTAGAGCCTAAGCATATCCCATCATTCATCACCTGCAGGAGCTCACCGTCCTAGTAACAAAGTCATATATTTAAAACACATTTATTGCATAAGTATAGTTCAAATCTATTAACATATTTATTGACATATCACTGATATAAAATTATAAACTTTATTTGGAGTACTGCTTGTGCACAATGCACATTTCTTAATATTAAGCCTAAATGTATTTGAATGCCACTATTAATGAGAATTGTATGATCTTTGAATAATATGAAATGCAAGATATTTGAAGTGTACCTGAAGTGTACTTGCAATAGTTCCACTTTAGCTCAATCAAGTATACTTCAGTTGGACTTTAGCACTACTTCCACACAGTTAAAGTGCATTAAGTACAAAATTAGTTGTTCCAATTTAGCAGGTTTTAAGTAAACCAAAAGTACAATTGCAGGGTATTTTTATTTTGTGTTTGTAGTATACTTAGCATGAAATAAACGTATTTCAAATACATTTTAGTATACTTCTTTTTCACCAGGGATGTTGAGGAATTTAATTAGATATTGCAAATAATTTGTGTAGTGTTGAACTTTGGTACAGAGATCACTCTAAAAAATGCTGGGTTGTTTCAACCCAACTTTGGGTCAAATATGGACTAACCCAACTTTTGGGTTAAATTTTTACATTCAAATTTTAACCCAAAAATTGGGTTAGTCCATATTTGACCCAAAGTTGGGTTGAAACAACCCAGCATTTTTTAGAGTGTATGTGCACTTTTGTAAAATGTTTATCACTTAATTAAAAGCACCACAATTAAATTGTGTCATGGATAGAGACAACTGAACAAAAGTTTAGAAGTTTATTTTAAAGTGCAATGAATTAAATGTACAATGTGTGTTACTTAGATTTTTACACCACTATGTTGTAAGTGTGTCACCGTTGCATAACTGAAAGTCATACACACTTGCGGTTTTCACGTCCACTTGAAAACATGGACCAAATACAGGAAATACGTCACGTAAGTAGACAAGTGGCCAAGCGCAGAGACCGCAAGTGTGAGAATCAGGACAGACCCAATGTCACCTTTTGCATCAAGTTCCAGTAAAGTCTCTTTTAGGAAGTTTTGAGTTATTTACATGTTACATTAACTCACCTATTTCAAAAGCAAAGGGTAATTCCATGTAATCCAATGTAATACTGTTTAAACTGCATTGCACAGATCAATTAAGAAACACCAGAGAAATTCTCAGTAGCATTATGTCGATGACATTTCTGTTTTCCTGAACTCATTAAAAGTCCCACAGAAGTTGAATACGTTCATCGGGTTCTGAACCCGGTAGCTGCTCACTTTAGATTGTTCTGACGCACAGAACGAAGAGACCACCGCTTTTAGTAACTGACCTAGAACACAGTGATCGCTCATCAAAGCCTGTGTTTTCTAGAGAACCCATAATTCCACGCTGCACACAGACTTTAATGAGATCAGATGAATCTGTCAGACCACTCTCTCGCTCTCTCTGTGCAGTTTAGGAGATCGGCATCACAAATGCAACTTCTTTCAGTTTTATTACTAAAGAATGCATGTGCATCTTTACCGAAACGTTCTTTAAAATATTTTCTTTTATGTTCCACAGAAGAAAAAGTCATAGCAGCTTGGAACGACACGAGGGTGAGGATCGAAGACAGAATTAATATTTTGATTAAAACTGTTCTGCTCTTCTGTTGCCACATTGACTTCAACATATTTTTATATAGTCCTGCTATTTTCTGTGATTGCAGTATGTGATACGACCGTGGCGCTTGTCTGCTTGAGCCACTCTGACGAAAACAAGAAGTGTGAATGTCAGTTCTTAAGAAAAAGCCTGTTTCCCAGAGCCAGCGACTGAGACTGAGACAGACCTTTCATCAGATGACCACAAATTCAAGCCTAAAGAGGTCTTAAATCAGAGCAGAAAGTCATGGCATTAAATCTAGCTTATATTTTTCTCAGTCTTTGTTATTTCCAAAACAAATATCTAAATGTCCTTACATCAAGATGAATTTACCTACAGATAAGTGCCTGTCAGTGGGAAATAAAAAACAAATTTTTCCTTTGAATTTAGTAGATTTTTTAAGTCCATTTTGAATTTCTCACAAAACAAGACTTTTTATCTTCTGTCATGTTTCTTCTTAAGTAAATGTCTCTTGGTTTAAGAATATTTTGCATTTGTTCTAGAAAACAAGAACAAGTGCTGAAGAAGAGCAGGTACAGTGAAGTTATGATTATTTCCGTATTCTAGTGGTCGTGAACCCAGTATGGAGATCTGATGGTAGTTGTGTTTTTAATCTTTGAAGTGTTGCTAATACACCTCATTGTGTTCCCTAGGCATTTACATTTATAGACACCGTACTGACATATTGTATTTTCTTTTCTCTGTCTTTAAAATGTCTTAAGTTTACCTTCCTGAAACCTGCAGAAACCCTGTTTTGTCATTGCATGTTTGCCGCAGATCTTGTTTTAAGTCATGAATTGGAAAAACCCCACTATTAAAACCCATAGGAAAATCACAAATTTACACCTAACAGACTGTTTACTTCACACCAAAAACTCATAATCACCCTCCACTTCAAGTGTTATTCTTCCCTTTTTGACTAATTTCCCAGTAGATGAATGTGAAATCATGGGAACCGCAGAAGTCATATGTCATATCATCAGGCATCCATGACACATTTGTTGTTCATAGTTAAAGTCAAGTTGCCATAGCTCTTTATAAAATACTGATTGTCAAAGCAGCTTTAGTGTCAAACGGGAAAATAGTTTGTCAATAATGCAAGAAGACAATATAAAACACTCAGTTTATCAGCTAAAGTCAGATTCAGTGATGTCATCTTCCAGTACAGTTCAGTTCTCTTCAAATATTGCCAGATATTAAGTGTCCTCAACTAAGCAAGCCAAATGTGACAGTGGCAAGGAACCAAAATGAAGAAAAAACCTTGGGAGAAACCAGGCTCAGTCTGGGGGCCGGTTCTCCTCTGACCAGACCAAACCAGCATGATGTGGTTTCATTTAATTTATTTTTTTTAATAAAGTGTATAAGGTTGTAACATTTTGAGTCTAAATATGGTGTATTAATTAATACAAGGTGCCATTACTCTTACAGTGGTTTATTGGAATACCTGTCTCCAAAAAGGAAAATTCTGTCATTATTTGCCCTTATTTTGTTCCAAACCTGTTAGCTGTTTATTTTTCAGTTCATACTGGAACAATAAAAGGAACCCATAACATTATTTCATACATTTCCCTGGAAACATTCAAATATTTCTTCTGAAGCCATTTATAGCTTAGTGTGCCAAACAGAGTCAAATTCGGTAACAAAGTTGTTTAGTCTAGGGTCGTTCATGCGACCCTCCACTCAGAATTCATATCACAGTATAAAAAAAGCACTTAACACCGAACGCTGTAGTTACCTGTCAACTATTATGAACAGAGCAAAGTGCAAGCCCAAGACCCTATTCTCTGAGATCAACAAACTTGTTAAACAACCATCACCCCTTCTTAATGGTTCTTCTGAAATTTGTGATGATTTTCTGACATTTTTTTACACACAAAATTGACAATATTTATCAATCCTTTTCTTCTGTTGTTCTTCCAGAAACTGCAACTTCCCAGATATTTTCCCCACTCTCAAACTTTTCACTCACTAATACATCTGTGGTTGAACAACTCATAATGAACTCTAACTCCTCTACCTGTCAGCTAGATCCTATTCCAAAACACATACTCAAAAACTTTCTCCCCTCTCTCATTATACCTTCACCCACATGATAAATTGTTCCCTATCGACTGGTTATGTACCGCTTGGATTGAAAATAGCTATAATCACCCCAGTTCTTAAAAGACCTGGCCTTGACAACACAGTTAGAAGTAATTTCAGACCAATTTCTAACCTTCCTTTTTTATCTTAGGTACTAGAAAAGGTGGTCGCCAAACAATTACAGACTCACTTGGATAAAAATAATCAGTATGAATCATTTCAGTCCGGATTTCGTCCTCACCATAGTACAGAAACTGCCCTTCTAAGAGTAGTGAACGACCTCCTCCTTGCTTCTGATTCGCGTGCCCTCAGCCTTCTGGTTCTTTTAGACCTGAGTGCAGCTTTTGATACAGTTTGCCATTCTGTACTGCTATCTCATTTGTCGGAGACCGGCATTACTGATACTGTCTTACAGTGGCTGGGTTCATATCTCTCATGCAGGCAACAGTTCATTAGCATCGATAAATTTAAATCTTATTCTGTCACTTTTTCTCGTGGAGTGCCTCAAGGATCTGTCCTTGGTCCACTTCTATTCTTAATCTACATGCTTTCTCTGGGTCAGATCATCCAGTCAGAAAATCTGCCCACATTACTCCGGTTTTACAGCAATTACATTGGCTCCCTGTCACCTATCGTATTCAGTTTAAGATTCTTGTTTTTGTTTTTAAGGCCCGTCATGGTTTAGCACATTCTTACCTTCCTGAATTAATTCTCCCCTATGTCCCTGCCCGTACTTTGAGATCGAGCTCTGAAAATTGGCTTGCAGTACCTAAATTCCGGCTATCTAGTGTGGGTGGTAGGGCTTTCTGCATTTCCGCTGCCAAGCTCTGGAATAAACTACCACAAAATCGTCATGTTATCTCTTCACTCCAGACCTTTAAAACTGCTCTCAAAACTCACCTATTTACAATGTTTCTTAATTAATTGCTTGCCTTAATTTTCTGTTCTATGCTTGTTTTGTAACTTATCTTGTATATTGCATATTATTTCACCTCTGTCTGCTGTTTGGCTGTTCATGTGTTGTATACTATCTGTTATTTACCTTATGCAAAGTGTCCTTGGGTGTTTGAAAGGCGCTATATAAATAAAACTTATTATTATTGTATTATTATTATTATTATTATTATTATTATAGTCTGACTATGAACTGAATCAGTCTGTTTAAAATAACAATTTGTGCACATTTTAGTGGCACAAAAATCTAAAGAGAAAAAAGTTTTGTGGTTTCCTATTTCATCACTGTAAAAAAAAAGAAAAGGAAAAAAAAAAGAAAAGTGTAATTTTTGAGAGTTGTAAATAAGACAAAGATTGAAGTGCATTTCATAAGAAAATATTCAGTTTTTCTAGTTCAAAAGTTCATGTTTAATTCAATGTGTTATTTGGTGTTTCTTTGTAATTGAGAATTTTACAAGCAATTTCTGAGTGAAAATTATTTCTACACTAATTTTTGTTTCTCAGTGCAATTGTGATTTTAATGATCTATTCTGTGCCTTTCATAAAGCTCTAAAGAAGACTCGGTCTGAAAATCCTTTTTGTTGATTTTATGCTAAGCAGGATATATATATATATATTTTTGTCTGTATACCAAGAATATGTTAGATCAAATCTTTTAACCCTATGATATTAAATGAATAAATATAAATGTAAATGTAAATGTAATTTAAAATAATCAGAAAAATCTTTAAGCTTCCTGAACCAGAAACACAGGCGACATGTTCTGTTGTGACGAAGGAAATGCTATAGTGGTAAAACTCATTTCAGCCGCTAACCTCGTTCTACTCGCACATCAACAACAATGATTCTCTGTGTCCTTATTTACATGCTTTTCAACATCTCAGGTGAGTCGATTATGATTTTCCTTCATCTTATTGACTGTAACATGCAGTTCTCTTCAGTTTTTGCAATGATCTGTGTCAGTTTAACAGTATTTATCTCATTGCTTTAGGTGCACAAGATGTCCAAACAGTCAGTCAAGTGTCTGTCCAGGAAAGAAGATCTATCGTAATCCCTTGTTGGTATAATCGTGCTTATGTAAATAATGTTAAATATCTGAGTTTTGGAGATCACTGGACCTTTAGTAAATACATAGAGTTTTCAGATGGGAGAGAGAAACATGAGACAGTTTCTGTCTCAGATAACAAATCAACTAGCACTGTGAGTATTGACATGAGGAATATTCAGCAGAGCCAAAGTGGGACGTACTGGTGTGCGATTGATGGACCTAGATCTCATATTCAGAATGGATTCAACTTAAAGGTCACAGCAGGTGAAATTGACCAGATATACAGTAATTATAAAATATTTGTAATATTTTTCAGTGACTTTTTTCCACATCTTCTTGTTCTTTCGTTCTTATGTCTAGGTATTGCTGGTCTCTATGTTCAGGATCAGATGCTGGCTGGTTTTGAAGGCGGCAGTGTTACCGTCGCCTGCTATTATCATTTGCCTAGGAAAACTGGTATAAAGTGGTGTAAGCTTGCGGGGAACTGTGTGTTAGAGCCAGGTGGGCTCTTGGATGGGGCGTCAGTGGAGATCAGGAACAGTAATGGAGTGGTGAGCGTGAGCGTGAGCCGACTGAGGAAGGAGAACACGGGATGGTACTGGTGCTCAGTGAGGGAACTACAAATGCCTGTTCATATCACTGTCTCTACAAGAGAAGAAACCTCTGCCAGCACACCCGAGACAACCTCCAGCCAGCCCCCGTAAGATTACTTCACGTTTACAATGAAATTCTAGCTGTTGTTTGCTTTGTCTCAGCTCTAAATGATCCCTCAGGACAACCAGCTCTGTGAAATCCACAGGAAGCTTCACATCTGCTCAAATGCCTCGGTAAGAATCTGTTCATTTATGTTTGGAGTCATGAATGCACAGTCCGATGGTTATTTTGACCAGTAAAATTGTTTCAAGCATCTCAAAATGCTCAACATGGCAAAGTTTGGTTAGTGTTTTTTCAACATGCCTGAATCAAGGCAAATTTCTCAAAAAAGTATCAAGCAACATTAGTCAGTTTCTTCTGTCTGGCCTCTATAACCTTAGTATATTAAGATATAATTGACCCTTTTCACAGACTGCGATGATGTTTTAATGGTCATCAGCATCACAAATCCTGCAATGTTTTTTATGTTTTCAGTTTTAAAAACTTGTATGCACATTTATATTTATATTATAAAGTGGAGAGTTCCGGTGCTTGATTCTGATTGGCTGAGCCGCGTTCGAAGCTGTTGTAAATGACTCTACAAAGTAACACACACCTTTGTTTACGTTTGTGTGTTGCTCGGCAACCACTTTGTAGCAACCACAACTGTTTCTGAGGAGCTACATTGTTTGGTGGAAGAATACTGTTTTTATTAAAATCATTACACTTTATTTGCTCTGTTTTATTCTGTGAAACCTTACTACGTATATGGAATAACCGTTTTATAAAAGCAGTAAGCCCCGTGAAGCTGTGGGTTACAGTGAATTTATAACAGCTAAGGGGGTTTTATGCACTCCGCTTCGCGTCACAGCTGTTATAAATTCACTGTAAACCACGGCTTCACGGGGCTGATTGCTATATTACCTTTGCATCAAATTCCAAAAAACGAGTTACCGCTGCTGTGAGGGTGTGTCTAATGCAGCGTCTCTGCGAGAGATGGTAAATTTGACATCGTTTTCTCTTCTGACTGCCGTTATCAGTCTCTCTCTATTTGTTTCTCTCTTTTTGAAAGTTGTGAAAACACTATTGTGGAGTTGTTCTTTTGCTATTCGAGGAAATGGGAACACAAAAATATATATTTGATGTAGTCTCCCATTCACTGCTATAGAAGTTTACCCAACTATGATGACTTCTGCTGCTGAGAAACCCGCAATTTTTTATTTATTAACTTTTGTTTTAGCTATTTTCGTACAAGTAGCTAAACTAAAGCTGTTAGAAGTTTAAGGTTTTTTTATAACTGATTTTATTTCAGTTACTGTTTATGTTATTTCAGGCATCTTTTAAATAGTTTTAGTTAACTAGAATAACCCTGGTTTGAAAAAAAAGTTGCTTCTTTAAGATTTGAAAGAGCGTCAGAGAAATATAAAAACATAAATATAATCTGCTGTGTAGTTATTGTATATATTAATGCACAATATTAATACAATGCAGTATTGTACAATAATAAAGTCTAACTATAATGATGTTACTAAATTAATCAGAAGTAACAAATGTATGAGAGATATCAATTAAAACTAGTTTGTGTGAGTTTCTGACTCGTTCTTCTCGCAGCTCCAGAGAGACCGCTGTTATTGTGGCTGATCATTGTGCTGGTGTTTAGTGTGATATTGAGCTGTGGCACAGTGCTTGTGATCACGCTGTGCAAAACCAGTGAGTCTTTTAGCCAATTTACTCAGCCTATACATTACTTATTACAATCAATATGAAATTATTAATTCATATTTATGCTTTTTTTTTTTTTTTTTTGCAACAAATGAGCAGAGCGAGTGTTGCCAAGAAGTACCAGCTTAAGGAATCTCAGAGTAAATGAGCTTTTATTATATCTCACCGTTACTTGTTATTCAAATAACTGATTGCCTTCTTCTATATGTCCTAAAGAGTGAGGCCTGGCTTATGTCGGCTCTGATTAAGGATGTGTATGAGCTTTAGATGTTATGTATATGTTATGTGAACATTTCTGTTGTTTTTTCACTGCAGTCACACACTGAGAATACATACGCTGAGATTACCTGTGAAGGACCGCTGGCTCAGGTACTGTCTGAAGCCTTCAAAGAATACAGGGTTAAAGAGACAGAAACACACAGCACTGGAATCCACTTTGCTTCTGTACTTGGATTTTCCTTTGCCTCATTCCTGCACAATATGGAATATTTTGCATCTATATTATGAGAGTTTGATGTTCAGTGTGTCTGACCAGGGCTGTGTGTAACGTTTGCTACAGGCGGCTCTCAGAGATGATGAAGTGATCTACTCCACAGTCTCACCTGGATATCTTTATCAGGTAAACTCACTACTGGCTCTACAATACACCTAGTCAGGTTAGAATCTTACATGGATGAAAGTGAGGCTGTGAGGGACAGACTGCAGTCTTTACAGCAGTACGTAGAGCATACAGGTCCCTCACCACCTCGTTTTCATAATAAGTGAAATATAGTATTACCCTGATTAAAGTCTATATCATAGAACCACCACCATCATATCAACATATTGTCTCTCCTTTTCTAGACTGACTCATCATTGGACTCATCATTGGACTGAAATAATAATAATAATTAGTTACATAACAATGCTTGGGTGTGAGTGTGTGTAGTTTGTTGTATCGTCAAGTTGTTTACCACAGCCTTTATTTTACTCATAAATTGAAAGACACCATTATAAAACCAGCGGCGAATTAGTCTTCCGGGTTCTGACGTCAAACCTGCACCACTCTGTATATATATATATGTGTGTGTGTGTGTGTATATATATGTATATATATAGATGTGCCTACTATATAATTTATATATTATTATATGCATATTTTTTATTTATTAAATCATTTAATTTTGTAATCTACATTTCATATATATATATATATTAACTTGATTTTTTGTTTTAAAAAAACACTATGAAATAAATAAATTGATGTCAATATTCTAATAGTGGTGTCTGATAAATATTGCATGCTAAAATGATAATAAAATATTACTTTTCATCTATATACACTTGTGGTCAAAATTTGACATACACTTTGAGTATAATGTTAATTATTTCAAAATTCAATTTACCCCAATATTCAAATTGAAGAGGTTTTCACCCCCGGCTCTAAATGCATCGTGTTTCCTTCTGCGTCTGAAGCTTCTGTAATAGTCGTGTTTGAGTTCCTCAGTCGTCCTCAGTGCCTTTCATGTGAAATATCTTATTCAGGTCAGTACTAAATAAAAAATAGCATGCATTTTGTATGATCCCTCTTATTTTGGTAATATTATACTGCAGAGTGTATGCAAAATTTTGACCACAACTTTAGATGTATTTCTACTCAGTATATCATGTATGTATATTTATATGTATATCATATAAATGTGCTGTTTTCAGTGGGTGGCTCACCTCTCTGGTCTAAGGACTGGTGTTTTTTAAGCTCACTTCATGAACACGCTGTAAGTGTAACTGTAGTAAGATGCAATGGCAAAAACAGGAAGTAAACGTTAGTTCTCAAGAAAATTCCACCACAGACGGCAATAGAGTGACCAGTAGATTTGCTAGCCGAACGCTGGGCCTTCGAGATGAAACCAAGAGTCTAGAGAATACAACAAAGACTTAGTTACACGCTCCATCGAGTCACCTGAGGTGAAGGGCCAGTTGTGGCAATTTTGAAGATTTTGAGTTAGTTCTGAAAGAAGAAAACATGAGAATAAGTGTTCAGATGAGTGGAGTGTGTGAAAGAGCAGCTGTACATCATGCTCTGGCTGAATAGACCTGATGCTGGATTGAAAGTTGCATGAGGAACAAAGATGGGACAGGAAACTGGTTTTGAGCCAGAGTTTATGGCTATACATCACAATACATTTTTTATCACTGGATCATATATATATATATATATATATATACAGCATATTTAAAAAGAGATTCCCCCTTTAGTGTTGTGGCTAATTGCTTCAACCTCATTGAAAGGCAGTTTTATCTGCAGATATGTTTGATAACAGTATGTGAACTTTGGTCAGGAGGCCTCACAGACGCAGCTTTTATCAGCAGCATCTTCACGAGGGTGGCTTACTGTGATACAGCAGGAAGGAGGTACAAAGATACTTAGTCTTGCATTATATTTCTTCCATTAACCTAACATGTAGCATTAAAATATTAACTGTGCAATTTAATATTAAAATGTGCATTGTGGAGATGGTGTAAAGTGCATGATATGATTGCATATTAAATGCAGTGACACAAATGCTGTTCCCTCAAATGTGGTGAAATATGTATAGTCATACTAAGATCAGCTCATTCTTACTCTGCCACACTGATGATGGAGACTCTGCTGCTGATGTTCCTCCTCACACACGCTTCAGGTACGACAGGCACTCAATCATGCTGTTTTCTCTCATTGCATTGAGCGAATTTTGGTAACATGTCAGTATTAAAGTCAGTACTGGTTTAGTGTGTTGCATGTGTGTTTGTACAATAGTAACACAATACTGAGCATAATTGTCCTGTAATTTAGCTGTTGGGAAAATGAAATGCAAATAAAAAGTTGAAAATGTTTTTCATATTCATCACCATCAACTTTGCCAAGAACTAGCAGTGTTAATATTTTACAGTCACGTTTCCACATCTCTTTTTATCTACTGTAGAAGATGACTGAGTTTTCAGCTAAAGCCGAACGAATGCATCATAACTAAGAGGTCAAGAATTAGATGTTTTATCTAATAAGGCACGAGGCTCTATTTTGGTTATTTCATCATGATTCATCAGCATATATATTCTGTGCAATGGTGTGTGCAGCCCGATAGACCACAGACGGGAATTTCTTCGGAAACATTTCAGCAGTAATGGTCTGTCTCTGTCAGTTGCTTAAAATTGCATAATACCAGTGATTCATTCACAATTTTTTGTCATTCTTTTGAGTCGGTTCTGTTTGGTGAATTGGGCAAATGGGTTCACAAAACGGTCTGAATCAGAGTTTAATTCATTCATGGTGAATCATTTGGAGCGGTTTCTTAGTAAAACAGTATCAGGGGGGTTTTAACGAAGTACAAACAGCACAGGATCTATAATCAATTTAATGATTTTTAGTCATGTAATGCTTTGGCATAGATGCCATTTACAATCCGTGTTATCGTGTATCTTTAGATGCAGTAGTATAACACTGATGGGAATATGCTTATGTAAAATATTGTATATGAGCTTGCATAGTGAAGTCTATCCATGTGTGGTTATTTTGTTGAAATGGTGTGGGGATGCAAGCATGTATGTTCAGCAGACTGGGATTTTTGCACAACTTCTGGTGTATGTATGGTTTATACATCTGTAATATTTGCCTTATGAAGTGTTATACCTGAGGCTCTGGTCAGGTTTCAGATCAAATTCTGCAGGTGCCTTTGATAATGCAGAAATTAATCTCAAAATGAAATGCTTATTGATGCTTATGTTGTGTGTAAATTCTTTCATACAGATTCATTTCTCTGTAAAGTGTAAACACTGTGTCTCTGTGTAACGCTATCAAAACATTACTCCGTTTGATAACTGTCATTATTTTTGAGTTTCCATTCATTTGCTGATGTTTTTAAAAGAATAGTTCATCCAAAAATGAAAATTTGCTGACAATTTACCTCAGGTCATCCAAGATGTAGATGAGTTTGTTTCTTCATCAGGTTTGGAGAAATGTAGCACTGCATCAGTGTCTCAGCAATGGATGCTCTGCAGTGAATGGGTGCTGTCAGAATGAGAGTCCAAACAGCTGATAAAAACATCACAATAATCCACAAGTAATCCACAGCACTCCAGTCCATCAGTTAACATCTGGAGAAGACAAAAGCTGAAACACATCCAGCATTAAGACGCTTTTAACTTCAAACCCTTGTTTCTGAGTCCATAATAATAACACTTCCTCCAGTGAAAAAGTGCATCTCCTGTTGTCTCACATCAAAATCCAGCCACATAGTTGTTTAGAAGTGTTGGACTGTTTATTCTTGCAAACCCAAAGGTTGTTAATGCCGAGGAGGTGGTAGTGGGGATACGCTCTTACTGCCTAAAGTGCGTCTCAATTAGCCTCTGACAACCAAGTCCAGCTCCTGGCCTTCATGTGTGGTCTAGCATCTAAATCTGGTGGAACTGTTTTCACTAACAGGAGAAGGGGCGAAGGCTAGCCACTGGCACCTCAAAACCAGTTTGCTTCGGGCAGACAGGGCTTGTTAACCTGGAAAGGTAGCTCGTCTAAGTGAAGGAAAACTCTGATTCCAAAGCCTCCGCAGCCTTGTGGCTAAACCCAGTTGTGGAAAAATCTGGAATCGGAGTCACGAAGGCAGTTCAGGGCTGTTTACAGCTCAGCTCTGGCAACTCCTGGGATGGCATCAAAACCAAGCTGTATCGGCTCTTACTGTTCCCTTGGATCTTTTGATGACGTGGATAGGGGGGACCTGCTGCGTGGGTAACAGCTCGTCCTTTTACCCAGGCGTTGCTCACTGGAGAGGCCACTCCAGCTTCGCTATTTCAGTGTCGGAACAACACGGGAAGAATCAGTCTACTGGTTATAAGTCTACTGCTTGATTGACATAGAGCAAGACGCCAGGGGTTGCTTCCGACAGTGGGAGAGATAATTGCATCTCATTGGGTAGCCAACGCCCGGCTCAAGCTGGAGTTGGTTGCTACCTCGCCACGGTCCGCTAAGCCCACTGGGTGCGTTGGTTTTAGGATGAAACCCTGACAAGTGGATCGATAACTACAGGCAACAGGAAAAAGAAAGAAGATAAGTCATGCAAGCTTAAAGCTAGGCACTTGGAACGCAAGTATCATCAAGTCTTTCCACAACAACATGAAGGGAGGCTTTTGACATATGAGGTGGAGTGAAACAGGGATGCGTTCTAGCGCCCGCACTGTTCGGTATTTTTTTCACCGTCTTGCTTAAGCACGCTTTTGGGTCTGCTACTGAAGGGATCTACTTTCGGACAAGATCAGATTGAAAGCTCTTTAAACTTTCCAGACTAAGAGCAAAGACCAGAGTCCAGATTAGGTGTTTAATATACCTTCAGTTTGCCGATGATGCAGCTGTCACCACACATTCTGCTGAGGATCTGCAGCAGTTGATGAACTGCTTCAGCAAGGCATGCCAAGAGTTTTGGCTCACCATCAACTTAAAGAAGACGCAAGTTGTGGGACAAAACATAAATCCTCCAACCAGCATCTTAATCTCCAACTACAAACTTGACGTTGTACACGACTCTTTGCACCTGGGATCCTCTATTTCTGACTCTCTCTCTTGACACTAAGCTAAACAGGCGCATTGGGAAGTCTACCACAACCATGTCCAGACTGACAAAGAGAATATGGACAAATGATAAGCTGACGACAGCACACCAAAGTCCATGTCTACAAGGCTTGTGTGGTGAGCACGGTCCTCTACAGCAGTGAGTCACGGACCCTGCATGCTCGACAAGAAAGTAGATTCAACAGCATTCACTTGCGTTGCCTCTGTTGCAATTGCATCGTCCTCGAGAGAGCTGGGTCTCGTCCATGTACACCCTTTTCAAGCAGAGACGCATGCGATCTTCATCCAACGTGATCCATGGTCTCTTGAGACTGACTGATGCCTATATGCTTGCAAACAGTGCTCAATCTGTGCATATTTCTCTCCTGATTCAGACGAAATTACTTTTTTTCAATGGAGAAAGCAATATGAATAGAGGACTCATATTTTAGCTAAGTTAAAATGCCTTAATGATTACTTGTAGATTATTGTGATGCTTTAATCAGCTGTTCTGAAGGCACCCATTCACTGCAGAGGATCTATTGGTGAGCAAGTGATGGAATGATACATTCCTACAAATCGTTTGAATTTTTAGGTAACCTATTCCTTTAATGGTATGCTTTAATAAGATCTTTAGTGGAATTATTTATTTTATTGTTGTTTTTAATATTTATTTTTTCTTTCACAGGAACTCAAGAGATCCGTACAGTCAGTAAAATATCTGTTCAAAAACAACAAACGATCACAATCCCGTGTTTATATGTTCAGAAATACGCCAATTACCCAAAATACATGAGTTCTGGAGGTGTTTGGATGTTCAGTCATTACGTATCACACAGCAGAATGTCTGTTGTGGATAATCAAGCAGAAAATGTGTTTACGGCGACACTGAGAGAAGCAGAAGTGAGGGACTCCGGCACGTACTGGTGTGCTGTTACCGTGTCTGGATCTGATCCTCACGCACATCTTTACCTGCAGGTTACAGAAGGTATCATTGATTCTGTGCAGCATTATAAACCAAAGTTTTCCTCTCAGATTCCAGAATGTGCAAAAGCAGAAAAGAAATAGACTTTGTCTCTGACCTTTTCTCTCAAATGTCTAGCTGAAGCAGGGCTCCGTGTCTCCAGTCAGACTGTGTCAGGTTATGAGGGTGGTAACGTCACCATCCGCTGTCACGGCGCTTCACACTGGTGTACGATCAGGCGATCTTGTGTTGGGAGAGATGGAGGATCTCTAGAGAGAACTGCAGTGATGTGTGATGATGGTGATGCTCTGAGAGTGACGCTGTGGCAGCTGCAGACAGATGACAGTGGATGGTACTACTGCTCTAATGAGGATTCACAGATGCCTGTTCATGTTACTGTGATGAAGGCCCTAGATATTACACCGTTTACAACTAACCCCTCTGAGAGCACACCACCACTCCGTGCAGACAGGTAAGCGATTGTGCTCATTTAATCAAAGCACTCGTTAGCAGCAGATCGTTCATTGGCTCTTATTGTGAGACTTGTTTCCAGGCGGTTGCTGTGGCTGCTTATTCTGGGAGCGATGCTGCCCATTATTACAGTCTGCGGAGCTGTGATGCTGATCAAAGCAAGGAACAAGAGAAGTACGTGATTTCATGATTTGATTAGTAAGACAAAGCAATGACAGCATATGTACAGTATTACATGTGTGTGTATCCGCAGAACAAAGAGCTGAAAGCTCAAATCTTCATGAAGGCATAAACAAACAACAACTGCCCAAAGTAGGTGAAACACAGCTCTCACATTCACAATAGTGTCCGCTTTTGATCACTGTTCACCACTACTGTTAGTATTAATATTATTAATTTCATTTTTATAGGGAACTGGGAAAAACAGTGAGGTTACGTGTGAAAATCTCTATGAAATCATGACTGCAATTAAACAAAACACTCAGGTACTTTCTTTGATTGCATCTGTAGCATTCACATACTTGCAATATAAACAGTTGTTGTTATTATTAATTTATATATGTATTTTCATAGGGAAATGGGAAAAACAATGAGGTTGCATGTGAGGATCTCTATGAAACCATGACTGGAATTAAACAAAACACTCAGGTACTTTCAGTTATTCATTTATTGTATATCTCTCTTACAATATATTAATATTGGTTAATATAATATGTAATATAATAATATAATATTAATATGTCAGTCTAACTGTACTTTTGTTTTGTTTTGTCTTGTTTTGTTGTGTTCTTGTGGTAGTTGACTGCAACAGATAATAAAAACATATATACATCTATGGTCTGAAAAGTGAAAAAGTGAAATATATAAACAGTCTTAGTGTTTTTATAATGTTTGTTTGTGTTAATCAGAGTTTTATAAAATCAGATGTGTGTAACTCAAGTAAACCAATAGCATTAGTTTTATTCAGTTTGACTCTGTGATTGGAAAAATAAGTAATATGAAGAATCTTTTTTTTTAAACCTTATATAATGTTGTAGGACAATTTCACCGCCTTTTAAATTTTTTTTTAAGTTGTGTGACAGTTTCTCATTTAGGGACATGAACATGCCCACGAAGGTTCAACACCCTGAGTTGTGTGTACAGAGTTTGTATATTGCAATATAAATCATATGTTTATTTCGAGATGCTAATTTCATTCCATTTTTAGCTCCGCAAAGAACCTTTTAGCAAACAGTCTTCAGTCAGAACCTTTTTATAAAGAACGTCTCAGGTTACTTATGTAACCATGGTATGCTTCAGACACGGGTCACGACGAGGCGTTCCCCATAGCGACCCCTAGAGGACGCAGTTCGAAGTTCCCATGAAAGGGAACCTTTTGTGGAATGGAAAGATTCAATGGATGCTAAAGTTTCTTCATGGACACATCGATGCCAATAAAGGACGTTTATTTTTAAGAGTGTGGCGTTGCTAGTGCCATGCTCGATTATTTGAGCTTCAGGAAAGCACACACAAAACAAAACAAAACAAAAAAAGCATTTAAAATAAAAAAGAAATACTGTTTATAATAGTCATATTTTGTGAAAACAAAAGTTGTTAAATACAGTGTTAAAAATGACTTTTTTTGTAACATATGAGAAGTAATGTTAAAGGTTTACTGTTATACCTGAATTATTTTTTGTATCAAATCCAATGAAGGATCTGGAAAATAATGATTGTACCCGGAATTTTAACATAACTGTATTGTGTTCTACATACAAAAAAGATAGCATGCATAAAGACGTGAGCAAATAGTGACAGAAGTTGTATTTTTCGGTGAACCGTTTCTTTGACATGTAACCCAGTCTGTCTGCTGTGTCTCAGTTTGTGCTTGAGCTCATGATGGCTCCGGTGAGAGTCGTCCAGAGCTCTGAGGCTTTGTTTTCATGAAGTGGAAAACTGGGGGTGTAAACATAGTGCTTATTTCTTCTTTTCTTTTTTTTTGCAATTCCTGAAAAGACTTTATAGACAAAAAGCCATCGGTCGGTCTGTCTCTGTCAGTGTTAATGCTGTTTTCATTATTGCTTTAGAGGGAATCTGTCACACTGGTTTCACCTGACTTAAATCTGTTATAAATAAATAAGCAGTTTTGTCACACTATCCACAAATACTCTTGCAAAACCGTGGCGCTGCGTGCGGGAGGGTGAGTCAGGCCAGAGCTGCAGAAAAACAGGAACTAGAGATGAGAAAAGAACAGATTTCACATGCGTTCCCATCGAACATCTTCACAATGACACAGCCATGGATCTGAACTGTCTTCTCTTCATCTGCAGCTTCATCAGACTCTCAGGTGAGAGCAACTACAGATCTGGGCCGACACTGTGTTGCTGTCTGGCAAGCATCCGTACTGTTGAATAATCTTAAAATTGTCATGTTTATGCAGAGCTGCAAGACTACTGAATTTATAAAGAGTAAACAGTAGGGAACAAAAGTCAGAGACTAAATTGAAAATCTGGGATTTAAAAAAACAATATTTCAGGATTATTTTTTTTAAAGGTAACATTTTTATTAAAGATATACAATATTTGACACTGTTTTTGGATTTTAATATACGTTTATGAATATTATATATTTTTAATACATATGAAATTAAATGTGTTAAAATGCATAAAAAGCCACAGATTTTGGATTAATCAATTCATTCTTTTAATATACAATATTTCTTTTTTGAAGGTGCGCAGGACATCACTATGGTCAGGCAGGTATCTGTTCGGAGAGGACAGTCTGTCATAATTCCTTGTTTATATCATCAGAAATATGCATTTTCATGCAAATACTTGAGCGTTTGGCTATCGAGTGATTATGTGGAGCTCTCAGACCAGAGTTGTCATTGCAAATCAGTGTTGATCTCAGATGACACGAAAGGTCACATCTTCACCGTCCGCATGGATAATGTCCAGGAGTCTGGCTATTACTGGTGTGCCATTCATATTCCTTCAGCTTTTGATAAACGGGCAGGGTTTTTCTTGGACGTCACAGCAGGTGAGACCATCATACAGTTATCTGAAGCTCTCTGATGCCAAGCTGAAACTGTACAAACTCGTAAACGTGAGGGTAAATGACAGAAATTGTATAATTCTTAAAGGAATACTTCAGCCAAAAATGAAAATGTGGTCATTCTAGAATGTAGCTGAGTTTGTTTCTTCATCAGATTTGGAGAAATGTAGCATTGCATCACTTGCTCTGCAGTGAATGGGTGCCGTCAGAATGAGAGTCCAAACAGCTGAGCACATTTTCAGCTATTCCTTTAACAAACTGCTAACTGAGTGGCAACTGATGATTTCTATGCAATTTCTAGACTCTCCGAGACTTCACGTGAACTCTCAGCATGTGACGGGATCTGAGAATGGCAGCGTAACCATCAGCTGCTACCATCAGGGAGGACAATATGGTGTAAAATGGTGTAAGTTTGGAGGTCAGTGCATTACAGGAGCGTCTGGGAGGTTAGACGGAGCCTCGGTTGAGATCAGATACGGTCTGAGAAACACGACTGTGAGCATGAGCCGACTGAAGAAGGAGCACACGGGATGGTACTGGTGCTCGACAGAAGAGCTGCAGATGCCTGTTCATATCACTGTCGATCAGAAGAAGAGCAGAAAGAGTCCGGATACAGCAGAGTCTGATCAGATCTCAGCCAGCGCTCGCAAAAGGTGAGGATCCTTTAATATAACGGCTCATTGACTCACACTCATGCTGGTCCAAACTCACACAGCTGTCTTTCTTCAGGGCAAAACCTTTCAGGCTTTTGACCTAAAATACATACTTAAATTCCCACTGAGATAGCAAGTTAATATTTCACATTTTCATGTTCACGGTTCTCTGATGTCAGGTAATGATCGCATGACATGCAGGAAAACAAATAAAATATTAATCTTTTTTTAGTGAGTGCTTTACTTGATCGTTTTTATTTATTTTTACATTTTATTATTTATTTATTTTGATCTTTCTTATTTATTTTTGATATTATTGATAATGTCCAAGCCGCTCTTTACCATATAATGAAGGTATATAGTGGCCATATAGTGTCAAAATAAAAGTCTTCTGAGCTCATATAATGACTTCAGTGTGAGGAAAAGGTCATTACTTACAAGTTATGTGGGTCTGCTTTTATGGTTCCTTTTTGGATACTATTTAGATTTAATGCATTCGTTTTAAGAAAAAGAGCAGCTTGAACATTTGTCAGAATATCTGCTTTCGTGTTCTTCAGAAGAAATAAGGACATACAGGTTTGGAACGACATGAGAGAGAGTAAATGATGACAGAATGATCATTTTTGTGTGAAATGTTACTTTAAACCATTTATGTCCATTTGAGAATTTGCAGCTTTTTTCTGCTTTCCAGAACTATTCACTTTGACATGATGCTGTGTTTGAAGTATGTAGGCAGTTATTCAGAAGATAAAATCCTTTCGCTATTCTGTTGTATTTTAGGACAGCTGTTTTATTTCTGTTGCCTGTGATTTTGGAGATTCTCCTGATCATAGTCATTTACTTGGCACTGAAACTGGCTAGGTTTTGCAAAAAAAGTAAGTTGTTTTCTTGCATCTATAGTTCTGTGAACGTATGTGAAGTCACTGTATTGTTTTCACAGCATGATGATGGAGTGAGTGAGTGAGTGTGTGTGTGTGTGTGTGTGTGTGTGTG